CCGGTTCGAACCCCTCCCTCCACCCCCCCCCCCCCCCCTCCCCTCGAAAACCGGGGGGGGGGTCACTACCGGTTTCAACCCCCCCCCCCCCCCCCCCCCCCCCCCCCCCCCTACGCACCGCCACACACGACTCCGTCCCCCACACCGTCCACATCACATCCCCCACTGTGTTCCCAGCACCACTTCCCAGCACCACTGTCCTCACCACCACTGTCCCCACTGGTTCCACCACCGTCCCTACTGTCCCCACCAGTGCCCCCACCACTGTCGCACTGTCCCCGCTGTCCCCAGAACTGTTCCCACCACGGTTCCACTCTCCCCACTGTCTCCACGGCCCCAACCACTGCCCGACTAGCCCCACTGTCCCCACTGTCCCACTGACTCCTCCGCTGTCCCACTGAGCTGTCCCACTGTTCCCACCACTGTCCCCACTGTCCCCACCACTGTCCCCACTGTACCTCTGTCCCATTGTCCCACCGCCGTCCTCGCCACCGCCTTCACCACTGTCCCCACCACCATTGTACCCTCCACTGTCCCACTGTTTCCACCTCATTCCCATTGTACCCACACCACTGTCCCCACCACCACCGTCACCACCACTGTCCACTGTCCCCCCCTGTTCCCACCATTGTCCCCACCACTGTCCCCACCACTACCGTCCCACTGTCCCCACCACTGTCCCGCTATCCCCTCGCCACTGTCCCCACCAACACCGTCCCCACCACTGTCCGCACCCCCACTCGGTTTTCGAGGGGGGGGAGGGGGGGGGTTCGAACCCGTAGTGACCCCCCCCGGTTTTCGAGGGGGGGGGGTGGGAAGGGGTTCGAACCGGTAGTGACCCCCCCCCCTTTTCATGATGAGCTGGGGGGGGGGGGGGGAGGGGTTCGAACCGGTAGTGACCCCCCCCGGTTTTCCGGAGGGGGGGGGGAGGGGTTCGAACCGGTAGTGACCCCCCCCGGTTTTCCGCCAGCAGCGGTAGAACACGCTCTTTCGTATATACACATAGCGTTCCCTCTTACTCCTTTTCTCTCTCTCTCTCTCTCTCTCTCTCTCCCTCCCCCCGTGCCGCCTCCTTCTCCTCACTCTCTGCCGCCCTCCCTACCTCCCCTTCCTACCCCTCGCCCTCCCTCCTCACTGCTCCGTCGACCATCCTCCATTTTCTTCCCCCTCCCATTCCTTCTCCTGCTCCTCCAACCCCTCCCCTTGCACCATAAGTGCGAGAGCCGTCGGCCCAGTGCAGTGGAGATGTTGCTTCTCTGCGCCGCACTACCCAGACCACTCATCCTCCCTCATTGTGGGAGCCTTTGGCTTGAAGACTGCCAGGTTGGACTTGTTGGCGGGATCCCGAAGCATATACCTATGATGGTCGCAAGTTGATATGTGTAAAAAATCATCCGGTGAGGGGGAAGGCAAGCACAACAAGGCTCATGCTTGCCACACTGTCGCATGCAGCCGCCCTCGAACACGCCCCACATGACTGCGCAGACGCGTCTCTAGAGGAAAGCGTGCGGGACTGAAGCGCCATGCGGAGGCACCACTATACACAGGGAGATAGAGAGCAAGAGTGAGAGAGAGAGATAGAAATATTGGAGGAGCACAAGTCTGCGTAAACATCAACTTTCGGAAGTCCGAGCGGCTTTCTTTTGTCCGCGCTGGACCCCCACCCCCCCAGCGCGCGGAGCGCGCCAGGGGTGGCGCCAGAGTCGCTGCCAGGTGGGACGAGCACCGACACAAGAAATCTGCGGGGACCTCCGGCAGTTCATGTTCATGCAGATCTGTTGAAAAGAAAGAAAGAGAGAGAGAGAGAGAGAGAGAGAAACAAAAAAGGACAAACAAAAAACGAGAGATATCTCGAAATGCCAAGCATAGGGGTGCGTTCCTCCTCCTCCTCCTCCTCCTCCTCCTCCTCTCACTCCTCCTCTCACTCCTCCTCCTGCTCCTGTTCTTCCTCCTCCTCCTGCTCCTCCTCCTCCTCCTCCTCCTCCTCTTCCTCCACCATCCTCCTCCTCTTCCTCCTCCTCCTGCTCCTCCTGCTGCTCCTCCTCCTCCTCCTCCTCTCGCTCCTCCTCCTGCTCCTGCTCCTGCTCCTCCTCCTCCTCCTCCTCCTCCTCCTCCTCCGCAGCTCCAGCGGCGCCCGCATCCAGCAACGGCGGGGAGCGCCGGGGGGGGGGGGGGAGGGCCGGCCCCCGCTCCCGTCGTGAGAGGCCCCAGGCCCGGCCGCAGCCCGCGCGCGGCCGCCCGAAACAAAAACCAGGGGCTCCCGATGTCTCGAAGGATTGCAAGAAAACGAAGGATTGCAAAAAAACGAAGGATTGCAAACAAAAAAAACCAACAGGATTGCAAAAAAACAGTTTTTTTTTTTGCAATCCTTCGTTTTTTGCAATCCTTCGTTTTTTTTTTGCAGTCCTTCGTAACCCCGTGGGTCCCTGAGAAAAGCACGACGGGAGGCCTTGCGCTGTTGTCGGCCCTGGGGGGCCCTTTGCCGGGCCGCGGGGCCGTCATAGGGACGCCCCAGGGGGTTGGCGTCGAGGCCTCTGGGGGTCGACGTCGTGGAAAAGCATGACGTTGGGGTTCTGTCGGGGAGACGTAAGACCCGGGTACGGGGGACTCGGAAATCCCCGACGAGGTCGTCAAAAAAATGACGAGGCCGAGCCTGCATTTTGACGAGGCCTCCCGCTGCAGACATCCCACGAAACTCCTACTCGTCAAAATCCGAGTCGCGGTCGTCAAAAAAAAATGGCGAACCCGAGTCCTGGTAAACCCGGGTCTTACGCTCCCCCGATTCTGGGGTAAGAAATCGTCGTCAATTTTTCGACGACTCGGGGCGAAAAGCCGGTCCAGGGGAATGGGGTCGAGACCTCTGGGGTCGACGAAGTGGAAAGGCATAACGTCGGGGGTCTGGGGCAGGAGATCGGTTTCCATTCTTCGGCGATCCGGTGGGGGGGTGCGAGAGGGGGGGCCGGCGGGTAACCGAACCTTTTCACTCTGGCCAGCCCCACGTACGCCTGCGCGCACCAACACTGCGCACCCCCCTGGGGTCTGCGAACCCGACAAGGTCACGTTGGTGGGTGGGGTCCAATCACCCAAGCCATCGGTGGACCCTAACACAGCAAGTCTCTAGATCGGGATGCCCGCGCCGAGGCGTGCATAGTGCTCCTCTCGCCCGCCTCCCCCTCGCTCAGTAGCTCCATCTCCCCCGCCTCCGCCTTAGCCGTCAGCGATCTCGTCCAGATTTTCTAGCCCGCGGCCGCAAGGGATCAGACGGCGTGCGAGCAGCGGCGGGACGCGCCGGGGCGAATTCAGGCACGAGGGATCAATTGGCATGCAGTTGTTCGAATCTCGATGATGCACCTCTCCCTCGTCCTCCTCCTCGTTCTCCTCCTGCCCCTCCTCGTTCTCCTCCTCGTCCTCCTCATCATCATCATGATCATCCCTCTCTTGGCTGGGCTCGCCAAGCGAATCTGGCGGCGGAGGAGAGGGAGGAGGAGGAGGAGGAGGAGGAGGAGGAGGAGGAGGAGGAGGAGGAGGAGGAGGAGGAGGAGGAGGAGGAGGAGGAGGAGGAGGGCCGCCGCGGCGGCATGGGCTGGTCACGTGGCCCCGGTCCCCTCGTCGGTGAGCCTGGGCTGGATGCCTGCCAGCGGCGGGAGGAGCAGCGGGAGGACTGACGCTTCGAGCTTTCGCTCCCGGCGCAGGCACGTCCTCCTCCTCCTCCTCCTCTCCTCCTCCTCCTCGTCGTCCTCCTCCTTCTCCTCCTCCTCCTCCTCCTCCTCCCGGCGCTAAAGGAGGCATCGCCGAAATGATGGACACGGTCCCTGAGGTAGGCGGGGACTCAAGATTCAGGGGCTCTCCCCAGGACCAGCCCTACATAGGGAACCGACCTCTATATACACTGACGCCCTTGTCTGGCCTCACACGGAATCTCGCACAGGAAAGCGGATCCTGGTGTGTACGGGATCATGGTGTATACATTCGCCGCTTCCCCGGGAGAGCGGGGATTCAAGTATACACCACACCACCCCGACGTCGCCCCAGAACCTCAAACACGTCCTGGGATTGAGAAACCGCACGCCGCTGGTAAGGTATACGCTCCAGTTTCTGACTTCATGCTGGGGTCGTTGCCTCGCGGTCCTGGGCCCCGCGGAGGGCCGCAGGGGCGCGGCATGAGAGGGGAGGCCGCGGGGGCACAGGAGGAGGCAGGGACGAGGAGGTGGGGGGGGGAAGCTAGACGCACAGCCAGGAGGAGGGAGGAGGCGGCGAGCAGGGGGGGGGAAAGGAGGCATGGGGGAAGCAGGGAGGTGACGGGCCGCAGGCAGCACAGGGACGTGGAGGGGGGGGGAAGCTAGACGCACAGCCAGGAGGAGGGAGGAGGCGGCGAGCAGGGGGGGGAAAGGAGGCAGGGGGAAGCAGGGAGGTGACGGGCCGCAGGCAGCACAGGGACGAGGAGGGGGGGGGAAGCTAGACGCACAGCCAGGAGGAGGGAGGAGGCGGCGAGCAGGGGGGGGGAAAGGAGGCAGGGGGAAGCGGGGAGGTGACGGGCCGCAGGCAGCAGAACGAAGGGTGAGGGAGGGACCTCGCTCGGCTACAGGGGAGCGGCGTGGCACTCGGCCGATTAGGTCCATGCATACGGCACCGCGAGAAGTGCACGGCTCCAGCCGCGAGTGGCCGATGTCACAAAGCAGGCAGTGCACTCACGCGTACCTACACTGCTCATGCAGCAGTCGTGCCGCCATAATAAGGAACGCGGGAGGAGGAACCAAAGGGCCCTGCTCGCCACGGCGGGCCTAGGCTACAATCATGTTCCACGACATAAATCTAAGCAGCGGCCCTCCAAGCCCAAGGTGATTCTTTGTTTCAGCGTCCTCTTCCTCCTCCTCCTCCTCCTCCTCCTTATCTCCTCCTCCTCATCGTCATCATTATCTCCGCCTCCTCCTCCTCCTCCTCCTCCTCCTCCTCCTCCCCCTCCTGGTCGTCGTCGATGTCTTTCAGGGTCGGCGGCACCGGCCGTCAAGCCTTCACAATCTAAGGAGCGGCCCTCCGATCCCAAGGTGGTTCTTTGTTTCAGCTTCTGGGATGTGCAGTAGCAGCGAGCTGCAGAAGAGCATGCACCAACGACACAACAACCACGCTGCGCCCCACGTGGAGCTGGTCGCACAACGAAATCGAAAGAACTGGCGTCGCACACAGGAGTGGAGGAGGAGGAGGAGGAGGAGGAGGAGGAGGAGGAGGAGGAGGAGGAGGAGGAGGAGGAAGGCGGAGGAAGGCGGAGGAAGGCGGAGGAGGAGGAGGCATAGCCGCACCGCTGTCTTCACATGAGTCTGCCTGCGCCCCTCGTGGCGTGCCCCCCGCGCGGCACCGTGCGCGGATGGCCACGGAGGAAGCGGCCGGCGTCTGCGCTGCCGTTGACCGAGCTGTCGCGTCATACACGTTTGCCAGCACAGACCACGCCCTCATCAGGCTGTTCCCGGTGCATTCGACGCGGTATGGCCGTCAGCGACAGCCATCACGCGGCTAAAATAGCGCCCCGTCGGCGGGGGCGCGGCGGCTGCTCGATCGGTCGGGCTTGCATTCGCCCCTGCACCCCAGAACCCTTCGCCCCCCCAAGCCGCCGTCGGGGGGCGGGGGGGGGCCGAGGTCTTCGGCTGACACTCATGTGCATCAAAACGGAGAAAGTCGAACTTGATCTTGCAGTTGCACAGCCACTCGACATGCCCATCGCGCACATAATGATCAACTTGCGAGCGCCCTGAAGGCACAGGCAGTCTGGCATATTGTGGGGGCCGATGGTGGCCAGCACATCCACGGCGGCGTGGAGCTTCATGAAGATGGGCGACAGCGAAGTAACGTCTAAAAGGGGTCGATGGAGGTTGCCATGCGCAAGTCGGACATGTCGTTGGCAAATGTGGTCGGAGCACCTTCGGGACCGGAGCCGCAAAACTACATCCAGCCATTAGAAGGCGCCGTAGGACAAGAAGACGAGTGAATAACTGAGTGGGCGTCACAATGTTGTAGCACTTCAGGATCGTCTCTATCATTTCGTGCACAGCTGCGCTCCGGATCGAACTCATCAGAGTCTTTATCAATGCAGCTCACTGGGGTCGAGATTTTAGCTCCACTTCTTGGGTACGGCGCCATCCAGCTCCTCGGATGCCCCGTGGAGACTGCACTTAAATGCCGCACCGTCTGGTAGCACACATCGATGTCGTAGATCTTGCGGTATACCAAGCCGCTCAGGAGGCCAGCGCGACGAAGGCGACGAGCTCCTAAGACAACGCCTTCGATGTGGCAATCGAGGTGAGTGGCTTGCTGGCGGAGCGCCGGGCAATGATGCATAAGCACAAACTGTCCTGCGCGAGATTGCATCACGAAGTGATAAGAGAGCACAATTTCAGGGAAAGGGAAGGAGGAGGAGGGGGAGGAGGGGGAGGAGGAGGAGGAGGAGGAGGAGGAGGAGGACGAAGCAAGGAGAACGAGGCCGTCACCGCCGCATCCGTCATCGACGCCGCCGCCGCCACCCTCGTCGTCGTTCCCAAACCTCCAACGTTATGACTTTCTCACAACGTGAACCCCCAGAAATCTCGACCCCCCCCACGCAGAACCTTCCTCGCCTCCCGGATCGATGCTTTACGGCCCTGGGGCCCGGCACGGGCCCCCGGAGGACCGAAAACTGCAAAAGCCCGCCGTCTGGTTTGTTAGAAGAAACACAAACGCCATAAACATAAACGTTTGGCGCTCCGCTCGGATTTCTTGGATCCGCGCCGGACCCCCCTACCTGGCGCGCGGAGCGCGGCGCCGCCGGGGGAGGCCCAGCGCTGATGCGAGAAATCCGCACGGAGCGCCACAAGTTTATGCTTATGGCGTTTTTGCTCCTTCGATTTGTTCAAGACGTTGGGTGTCTGGGCCCTGGGTGGTTTGCCGCACATCGGGCATCCGACGGCCCTTCGGAACGATCAGGGCGCCTCGGAAACGCTCTCGGCGAGGCGCAGCTGCTTGAAAGCGGCCCGAGGCTCGAAGGCCTCTGGTAGCCGACAAAAACGCCGCAACCACCCGAGCCTCGAGTCTCGGAAGGGCCTGCAAACCTCAAACTTCGAACCTTCGAACCTCCGAACCTTCGAACCTCGAACTTCGAAACCTTCGAAACCTCGAAAACTTCAAACCTCGAACCTTCGAACCTTCGATCCTTCGAACCTCAAAAGTCGAACCTTCGAACCATCTACCCTCGAACCTTCGAACCTTCGAACCTTCGAACCTCGAGCTTCGAAACCTCCGGTCGTGATCCTTGCGCGGCGCGCGGAGGTCGTTCGTCGTCGTCGCCGTCCCGACCGTAGGGGAGCAACAATTGCATAAGCATATATCTGTATCTATATATATGTATATATACTCGGAGCTCTGCGCGGACCTCTCAGATCATCGCTGGACCCCCCTCCCTGGCGCGCGGAGCCCGCCAAGGGCGGCGCCTGAGGCGACGCCGGGGGGCCCGGTGCCGGACCTCAGAGAAATTGTACGTCTGCAGTTTTGTGCTATTCGATCGCTGCCCCCTGTGTTCCTTCTCTGCGGCCGCCCTCTTCTTGTCCACTTGTCTTAGAAAGCCAACAGCTAGAGGCCTCCTGGATGGGGTCCGAGCAGACGGGCTCGGAGAATTGCATCGCATCGGCGATGCATCGGCAACGTCCGCGTTGAGACAACTGGGCTCCACATCGAGCCGCATCGCCAATGCATCGGCGATGCGGCGCGACCCTCCGACCCCATCTACTTCGGCCCCATCTGGGAGGGAGGCCGAGATCACAGCACAGCGTGGCCCGTCGGCTACAATCATCGTGCTACCACAAAGAACGCCGAAGAAGGAGCGAAATGGCTTCCTGGCAACTCAGGGATGGACAGACCCCCCTTTAGTAAAACATGGTTTAGTGAAAACAACCTGAGGCCCAAACCTGGCAAGCGCAGGCCTAGAAAATAACGCCCACGGCGCCATCTCGAGAACCGAAAACGGACAATTCACTCATCCACGTGTCACTGTTGGGGGTTCTGTCCACCCCCGAGCAACGGCGAGCCTCGGCCACGAAGAGGTTCCTCGACCTAGATCTGAGGGACTGCCCGAAAGCCGGGGCCCCTCGTTGCATCGCCTTGGCTAACTTCGAACGCGCCAGCGTCCGCTTGCTGACAGACAGCTCTTCGATCGTCGTCGTCGCCGCCGTCTCGAGCGGCCGCCCGGGGCGACTCGGGCACCCCCAGAGCACGCTCGGCGAGGCGCGGCCGCTGGAAAACATAACTACCGAGGCTACACAACCGCCGAGGACCGACGAAGACGCCGAAAACTTCCCCTCTCCTCCTCCTCCTCCTCCTGTTCCTCCTCCTCCGCCTCCTCCTCCTCCTCCTCCTCTTCCGCCTCCTCCTCTCCTCCTCCTCCTCCGCCTCCTCCTCCTCTCCTCTCCTCCTCCCTCCTCCCCTCCTCCTCCTCCTCCCTCCTCCTCTCCTCCGCCTCCTCCCGCCCCGCCCCTCCTCCCTCCTCCTCCTCCTCCTCCTCCTCCTCCGCCTCCTTCCGCCCTCCTCCTCCTCCTCCTCCTCTCCTCCTTCCTCCTCCTCCTCCTCCGCCTCCTCCTCCTCCTCCGCCTCCTCCGCCTCCTCCGCCTCCTCCGCCTCCTCCCTCCTCCTCCTCCGCCTCCTCCGCCTCCTCCGCCTCCTCCTCCTCCTCCTCCTCCTCTTCCGCCTCCTCCTCCTCCTCCCCGCTGACGTTGCCCCTGACGTCGCCCCCGTCCCGAGAGGCCTCGCCGCAGCGCCAGGAGGCAGTCCGCCACGAGGCTCCTCAGCCGCGGGGGGCAGGGCACCTCCGCGGGGGCTCGCGCGGCGGGGCACCGGCCTCGAGCGCTGGGGATGGGGCTTCGAGGGGGGGGGGGCAGCGATACTTCGACCCTTTCTCGGGGGCCGACTTTCCTGAGGGGCAGCGATCGGGAGGGGCACCAGGGCTGGACCTGAACGTTGCTCTGCGTTTTGTTGTCGTTTTGTTGTTCGTTTTGCTCTAGCTCCACCTGTTTTCCTGTACCTTTTCTGCCTGAACGAAAAACAACACACAGCCGAAGTCCAGCAGAAAAGGCGTTTAGGTCCAGCCCTGGGAGGGACTGGCATAGGGCGGAATGCATCGACTTGGAATCGGCGATACATCGCCGATAGATCGGCGATAGGCCTCCGATACTGAATCCGCACCTTCCTGGGCAGGTTGGGGCTATCGGGCCCCTATCGACGATCAGTGGGCGATTGGGGGTCGATGCATCCTACCCTATGCCTATCCCCTTCTATCGTTGCCCCCGATTTCCACTTCTCACACTGCGCTGTTTTCGAACAGTCCCCAGGACCCGGCGATGGCCCCCAGAGGCCGAGCGTGTATGAAAGACAGAGAAGCCTTCCACCCTGACTTTTTCATGGCGCCAGAGGGGGTTCTGTGGAGGGCGAGGGGGGCTTCAGAGTGGCACGGAGAGCTGGGGGGGCGGGCCTACTTTCCACTCACCACCGCTGCAGATCAGAGGGGTGCTTTGCTGAGCGAGGCGCTGGCCGCGCCCGCCGCCCGTGGTCTGTAGTGGTGGCATCTGGGAAGAGCTCCACGCAGGACCTAAGACGAGGCCAGGACAGGGACAAGATCAGATCGGGGATCTCTGAGATCCGGCGGCTCTCGAAGATGAATCAGGTGTAGCGGCGGCCTTCTCAGAGCGTTCCGAAACTCTCTGAGAGCATTCTGGAACAACGCTCTGGAACAATATCCCTGTCCTAGCCCCGCTCGACATGCCCAGATCTCCGACAATGATAATTGTTCAACTCTGGCGTTTGGGGACGTTTCCTAATGGGGCGGCCATCAAAAAGGGGGATGGAGGGTGGAGAACGAAGAAAGGTGCACCTCTCGTGCAACTTTGGGGCTGCATGGGAGCCCATTATGGCCCCATGAGGTGTACAAGAGGGGCACCTCTCTTCACCCCCAGTGGATCGCCCCCCCGCCACAAAACGTCAGAAATCATTCTTCGCATTCGGGCCCCAATCGGGGACGGAGAACTACCCCTGGGGAAGGTCAAATTGTAAACACCAGCCTGATGGTTTATGCACCGGTGGAGTGGGGTCTTCCCCGGTCCAAATGGGATATTCCCTGGTTCCCTTTGCCGAAACGTGACGAAATCTTACTCGCCGCAAGGAGGCATCGTAGAGGCCTCTAAGAGGCCTCTACGATACCTCTACGATACGTCTACGATGACTCTACGATGCCTCTAAGATGCCTCTAAGATGCTTCTACGATGCATCTAAGATGCCTCTGCGATGCCTCCAAGAGGCCTCCACGAGGCCTCTATGACACCTCTGTGCTCCTCGGCGCTCATCGGCACTCCACCCTCCTCATCGGTACTCCTCGGCCCTCCACCCTCCCCTGTTTTGAAATTGCCCGACACAGCAGCTACAGAGTTTGTATTGAGACAATATTGTATTGATGGCGCCCCCCGGCGAGCCTTGCGTTATATAGAATAACATGTATACATAAGGATTAAGTATGTTTGTATGTCTAATGTGTATATACACAAATATTGTGCAACAGTGTTTGTGCTGTGCGTGTTTGTACGTATACCCAGATATGTGTACCTAGACATAATACAAATCGACCCTCGTGTGTTCACATTCACGTATACATAGTGCATATGCATAGACGGACCCATGCACATGTACAGATACACGAACATGCAGGTTGTATGCAATTGCTTGACATATACTCGTGTACGTGAACGGCATTAATGTGATTGAACAATGCGCACATGCTCAAACGATTCTCGCACCTGAGTAACCGCAACAGCCAACTCATTTCGCACCACCCAAGTCGAGCAACTACTATCATTACTACGACGACTACTACTACTTCTACGACTACTACTACTACTACTACTACGAATATCACTACTACTCCTCCTATTACTGATACTACTACTACCACTGCTACCACTACTACCACCACTACTACTACTTCTTCTACTACTACTACTACTACTACTACTACTACCACTACTAATACTACTACTTCTACTACTACTGCTACTACTACTACTACTACTACTACTACTACTACTACTACGCCAGCGACGACGACGACGACGACTACTACTACTACTAATGCTGCGGCTACGGCTTTGACGACTACTACTACTACTACTACTACTATTACTACTACTACTACTCCTACTATTACTACTACTACTACTACTACTACTACTACTACTACTACTACTACTACTACTACGACAACTACGACCACTACTACTACTGCTACTACTACGGTTACTGATACGAACACCACCACTGCTGCTAGTACTACCACGCAAGCGACGACAGACAGTATCATTATTACTATTGCTGGTGCTGCTACTACTACAAGTACTACTACTACTACTACTACTAATAATAATAATACTCGTGCTGGTAGCAGTACTCGTACTACTACCACTACTTCTGCGACTACTTCTGCGACGACTACTATATCTACTACTTCCATTCTTACTACAACTACTACGGCTACAACAACTACTATCGCTACTACAATTACTACTACTAATACTCAGACGACTACTACTACTACTACTACGACTACGACTACGACTACGACTACGACTACTACTACTACTACTAATACTACTACTACTACTACTACTACTACTACTACTACTACTACTACGACGATTACTACTACTCCGACCGTTACAACAGCTACTGCCACTACTACTACTATCACTAATAACAATATTAGTGCTACTACTACTGCTACTACTACGACTACTACTACGAGTATTAATTCTAATACTACTACTACGACTACGACTTCGACTACGACTACCATTGTATCTACTACTACTACTACTACTACTGCTACTACTACTACTGTTGCCACTACTACTGGTACTACCACTGCTACTTTAACACCATCCCTGCTACTGTTACGTCCACACAACAGACTACGAGTATTAGCTACTCGTACGGCTACTGCTACTACTACTACTACTACTACTACTACTACTACTACTAGCGCTGCTACTACTACTCGTACTACTACTACAAATACTACTACTACTACCACCTACTACTACTACTACTACTACTACTACTACTACGACTACTACTACTACTACTACTACTACTACTACTACTACTACTACTACTACTACTACTACTACTACTACTACTACTACTACTACTACTACGACCTATTACTACTACTACTACTACTACTACTACTACTACCACCACCACTACTACTTCGACTACGACTACGACTACTACTACTAATACTACGACTGATCCTACTACTACTACTACCACTACCACCACCACCACCACTACGACTACGACTACGACTACGACTACTACTACTACTACTACTACTACTACTACTACTACTACTACTACTACTACTACTACTACTACGACTACTACTACTACTACTACTACTACTACTACTACTACTACTACTACTACTACTACTACTACTACTACTACTACTACTACTACTACTACTACTACTACTACTACTACTACTACTACTACTACTACTACTACTACTACTACTACTACTACTACTACTACTACTACTACTACTACTACTACTACTACTACTACTACTACTACTACTACTACTGTACTACTATTACTACTACTTTCTGGCGGTTGAGTTATGCCCCGGTCGTGTTTCATGTAACTGGTGCGGTCTCGTAAGGGGTAACGATATTGTTTCTCGGTTCTTGCATGGACGACACACGCATACGTTTAATCGGCGCGAGGTCTTCGGCAACTGCTCTTTTCCCTGTCGACTGGGGGATGTCCCATGTAACCGGTGTTTAAACCATCGAACCGGGGAATATAGAGCACTGCCCCCTGGGGAAGGGGCCTCGCCCTCTGGACATCCACATCCCACAGCCTCGCTGTCCAGACTCCTAGGCCGCGACCCCATGGATGCAGATCGGCGTTGCGCGAATGCCCGCGCGGAACATATCCACAGGATCGCACATCCATGGGATCGCGCCTCGGTTCCCAGACCGAGACGGCTTGGATATGGATATGCCGGGCGCTCGTGAAGCGAGAGGGCGAGCTGACGGAGGCGTGTGTACAATCACAACGGGTCCTAGCGGAAAGGGTCCTGCCATTGTTTCGCAGCCCCCCGCCCAGAGACCCGGGGCCTTCGACAGACGGCTCAGAGTGAGGAGCTGGCCCTGCTTAGAAAGTGCCCCTGGTGATATCGAGGAGCAAAAAGCGGGATTGAACCTTCACTTTCGGAAAACCGCGCCGAGGCGCCGGGGGCAGCGCCGGAGGCGCCGCCAGGGGGCGCCAGCGCAGATCAGAGAGAGTCGCGCGGAGCCCCGAAAGTCTCTGCACTCCTTCCATTTCGGGTCTAATATTCATTTCCCTCCAAGCCTCTCTCGACAGAACCGCTCCGTCGGCGCTCAGCTCCGCCCGCGCGCCGCTCCGCTCCGCTCCGCGAAGGCGACGACGACGACGACGACGCCGACGCCGACGCCGACGCCGACGAAAACGACGACGAAAACGACGACGAAAACGTCGACGACGAAAACCCGTTCGCCCGAACGCGCCGCTCCCTTCCCCCCCCGCCCCACAGCTCGCCTGCGCGATGGTCCGCATGCTTTCGTGCCCCGCCCGCCGACGGCAAATCGGGAGCGGCCAAGAGGGGGGTGTCCAAGAGGGGGGGGTGCAAATCATGACCGGCGGCACGTGCGCGGCCCAGCGGGGGGGCCAGGGACGTAATGAAATAAGAAGGGGCGCCATGAAATCTGGGGAAATCTCATGGCCCCCGCCATGAGATCCACCCCCCCTAGTCATCACCCCCCTCTTTTCCGCCCCCGAGCAAACGGCGCTGACCCCATTGCCTCCCCGAGGCCCAGGCGGGGCAATCCTTCGCGGCGGGCGCTTTTTTCCGCCCGGTCTCGAGCCCTGGGGCCCTCACACATCGATCCAGCTCGAAAATCGGGGATGGACAGACCCCCCTTTAGCAAAACGTGGTCTAGTGAAAACGACCTGAGGCCCAAACCTGGCGGGCGCAGGCCTGGAAAATGACGGCCACGGCGCCCTCTCGAGAACCGAAAACGGACAATTTACTAATCGACGTGTCACTGTTGGGGGTTCTGTCCACCCCCGAGAAAAAGGATGCAGAGATCGGGGATTTGCCGACCCGGGTCAAGGCAGACCCGGGTCCGTCGGGCCTCGCAGGGCCTGGCTATAGATCCGACGCGCTCCTGCAGGATCCTGCACCCAAGCCCGGGCCGATGCGACCCTGGCACTGCAAGATCCTGTAACATCTGGCGCTCTGGCTGACCCCCGCTTGCATTGACCCTGTCTCCTGAGCCCCGAAGCTAGGTGGGGTCTGGGGCTCCTGGCGGGCTTTTCTCGGCGGTGCTGCACCTGTTTCGCAACGTCGGATCTCAGCGCTGGCCTCCTCCAGTCCACACTGACATGAACTCAAACTTTCGGAGGTCCGAGCGGGGCCTCTCTGACCTGCGCAGGCGGCGCCTCCGGCGCCGATCCAAGAAACAGGAGCGGGCCTCCGATGTCCCCAGCCCAGCTCGCCGACTGGGTTCCAGAAAGATTGAATACTTGCATTTAGAGATTCGCTCTTCTCGTGCCGAGGGCTCGGACGGGTCCGTCGAGGTTTCGCCGCCCGTGGCCGCCTCGTTGCCGTCCGCTCGGGAGGGTCCGTCGAGGTGTCGCTGCCTTGCCGCCCGCTGCCGCCTCGTTGCCGCCAACCTGGGGCGGTCCGTCGAGGTTCGGCCGCGTCGCCGCCCGTTGCGGCCTCGTTGCCGCCCACAGTGCTTGGAGGGTCCGTCGAGGTTGCACTGCAGAACTGGCACCACACAGGTTGCACCACGTAGACTGCATCAAATTGACTTGCAAATCCACAGTTCAACAACTTGAGGTTTGGGGTCCACGTTGGCGAACATGTGTTTCGATCCGGGCGTTATTCATCGATATCGACCTGTCCATCACAGACGGGTCTGGACGAAACACTACCCCAGGGGAAGGGGTCGGGACCTCAAGCACCGCATTGCAAAAACACATCGTCGGATGTCTGGGAAGATTAGTACAGGCGGTGGCAATCGCAGAGATGTGCCCACGGAAACTAGGGGAAAATCCTGAACATCGGCTCCGCGAGAAGGTGATGCCAATGATACCAGAGAAAAACCAATCATAATCTTGTTAGGGCTCTAGGGATATAGGGCTGTAGGGCTATAGGACTATAGGTCTATAGGGCTACAGGGCTATAGGGCTATAGGGCTATAGGGCTGCACGGCTACAGGGCTGTAGGGTCATAGGGCTACAGGGTTATAGGGCTATAGGGCTTTAAATAAGGCTATAAGACTATAGGGCTACAGGGCTATGGGCTATTTGGCTATAGGGCTATTGGGCTATTATGGCGATAGGCCTATAGGGCTATTAGGGCTATAGTGTTACAGGGCTACAAGGCTACAGGGTTACAGGTCTATAGGGCTACAAGTATATAGGGCTATAAGGCTATGAGGCTATAGGGCCAGTGGGCTATAGGACTCTAGGGCTCTAGGGCTACCGGGCACCCTGGCGTGCCACCGAAATCGGCGCCAGACCTCACCTAACCATAGGAGTCCGCTAGGACCCCTGCAGGGGCAAGCTCTGATTGGGGAACCATCGGGACAGGACATACCTTCGGGCTGTGGTCACGTCAGGCTTCGCCCGCCCGGCCCGCGCACGCGTGTGCTGCTGGGCGGAGGCAGGGCGGGGCCGAGGGTCGCAGCCCTTGGAGGGAGCCAAAGGCCAGCAGTCCGAAACCCGAAGCAAGAGGGGGAGGAGGAGGAAAAGGGAGGAGGGAGGAGGGAAGTGGGAGGAGGGAGGAGGGAGGAGGGAGGAGGGAGGAGGAGGAGGTGGAGGGGGAGGATGATGAGGATGATGATGATGAGGAGGAGGAGGAGGAGGAGGAGGAGGAGGTGGAGGAGGAGGAGGAGGAGAACGCTCGGGAACGTCCGAGATTTCGGCCTTCGGAGGCACCTTTGTTCACGACATGCGACAATCGAATCTGGCCCGGGACGATGACCAAATCCCAAGGGAAAATTCGAGGAGCCGTTCGGGCCCACGATGCGCACCGATTCGTTAGGTGCGTTGCCCCCTGGAGGCTTGGACCCCTACGTACCCTGGTACATTTTTTTTCATAGCTGTCTGATGGTCCCCGGCTTCGACTCTGTAGACGCGCACGATGTCTGGGACCCGAGCTACCTTTACGTAGGTCGGGCCTGTCCCCCATACAAAGGGATTTTGTGTGAAAAATTAGACATACCCCCCAAAATACTCCGAACAGCTTCAAAAGTAGTCAAAATCCGCCCCCAGACTACGTTCTACTATTTTGGGATATTCCTCCTGTAGAGGGACGCGCCCGACATAGAGCTACCTCCCCCCCTCTCCTGCTGCTGCCTGCTCCCTCGCCTCGGGCGGCCCACCTGGGAGTCCACGCAGAGGCCCATGTCCTTCTGGCTCTTCGGTCCGCGTGCGTGGCCCTGGGGGGGCCCGCCAGGCCAGGGGATCGCAGCGGAGGCTGGGGCAGAGGACGGGAGGACGAGGAGGAGGGATGGAGGACGGAGGAGGCGAGGGAGGACGAGGCACCAGAGAGCCAGGGGGGAGGGGGAAAGGAGGAGAAGGGAGGGGAGGAGAGCGGAGAAGGCGAGGGGACGACGGGGGAGGAGGAAAGGGTATGGCAAGGAGAGCTAAAAGGAGAGATGGGGAGATGGCGAGGTGGGCGGGCTCGCGCCATATCTGACACCCGAACCCTCCTACCCATGCCTTCCCGTTGGGCTGATGTTTTCTTGATCCGCCGACGAGTGTCCTGGCGGACTTGTATCCCCCAAGTGGCCCCGTGGTGTGATGCGCAGCCAGAGTGATGCACAGGAGGGAGAGGAAGAGCAGCCAGAGCACGAGCGGGAGAAGGGGGAGGAACATGATGGCAAAGGGAAGCTCCTCTTCTCGGGGGCGCGCAAACATGGATCGGGGGAGGCACCCTCCCCAAAATGTGGCCGGTGCCACCTCGTTCGGCGGCAGGCGACTTCCCATGGAAACGGGACCCGTCGCTAGTCTACGCCCCCTTGATCCATGTTTGCGATCGTCTGATCCTCCTCCTCCTCCTCATCCTCCTCCTCTTCCTCCTCCTCCTCCTGATCCTGATCCTGATCCTCCTCCTCCTCCTCCTCCCCTCCTCCTTCTTCTCCTCCTCCTCCTCCTCCTCCCCCGCCTCCTGGGCGGAGGACGGGAACCGATGGGGGCGGCACCGACGAGGACGGAGCATCGAATCCAGACATGGTGTGGCCCGCGCCGTGGTGGCAAGAGTGACATCCCTGAGCGGCGGGAGCACGCGGCGCCGATGCAGAAAAGCGGGGCCAATGGCTGCATTTGTTTCGAAACTTTTGGGAAGCGTCCCGATGGGGAAAACATGCAGTAGGGGCCCGACCGCCAGAAACCGAAACCCAACCTTGAGACCCCAGGACGTCCCTTGGTTTTTGGTGCGGGAACGTCACGCCTTCCACGGCAAGACCATCGAAACCCAAGAAACCCAGGGCATCGTGGAGGCAAGACACACACACACACATACGACACACAGCACACACACACGCACGCACACACACACACACACACACACACACACACACACACACACACACACACACACACACACACACACACACACACACACACACACACACACACACACACACACACACACACACACACACACACACACACACACACACACACACACACACACACCTACACACCTACACACCTACACACCTACACACCTACACACCTACACACCTACACACCTACACACCTACACACCTACACACACACGCAGACAGCAGGATCCAGGACCCGAGGTGGCCAACCTGTGAAAGCTGCAGATGGGGATGTGAGATAGAGCAGGGGAGGCAGCAAAGGGGAGAAAGGGGAAATAGGGGGTGGGACAAGGACAAAGAGGAGTGAATGCAGGGGAGGGGGAGGGGTCTATGATGAGAGGTGGTGGCTGAGGGGTGAAGAAGGGAACGGAGAGGACATGGGAGGGAAGGCAGCAAGCGAGAGGGAGGGGGAAGGGGGGAGGCCGGAAGGTAAGGGTGAGGAGCAGAGGAGAGGAGAGAGGATGAGAAGATTTGCAGGGGGAGGGGAGAAACAGAGGGGGGGGGAAATGCGACAGGAGCGAGAGAGAGAGAGAGAAATGGGGGCTGACAAGGGGCAGGCAAGTGCGCCAACGGACAAGAGCTCGTCCTCCTCCTCCTCCTCCTCCTCCTCCTCCTCTTCCTCCTCTTCCTCCTCTTCCTCCTTTCCATTTTCCTTTGCCTCCTCCGCGTTCACCACCTCATCCAACTCGTCCTCCACCCCCTCCTCCCCCGCGTCGTAATCCTCTTCCCAGTCCTCCAACACTTTTTTTACAAGCGCAAGCGGGCCCCGTGGCGAAACGCAAGGAGGAGAGGGGGAGGAGAGGGGGGAGGATGAAACCGTCGGCAGCCAGCCCCTGGGCTGCGCCGCATCTGCCTAGTCCGGCGGCCCCGGCCGAGCCTCCAGCCGCCTGCGCAGCGCCGCGCGCCAGCCCGCCTCGCTGCCTCCCGCTCGCACCGCGGGCACCAGCAGGAGCGCCGCTGCGCGAGGCGGCAACGTGCAGGCCCACCACCCCGGGCAGGGCCGAGCCGCCAGCGCCCGCCAATGCGGGACTGCGCTGCCGCAGCAGAGGCACGCGACCCACCCGGGGCCGCGACCGCATGCGGCGCCCACGCGCCGCCCCCGAAGAGGGCGCGGGCGGCCTCGGCGGCACCGCGCTGGGGCAAACCCTGGCCGACCACCGCCCACGGTCGCCGGGGGCGCCGCTGCAGCTGCGGCTGCGGGTCCCCTGCAGGCGCCGTCTGCTGCTGCTGTGCCCGCCGCCTGTTGGGCCGCGCAGCCCGCGCCAGCCGTGGGCCGCCCGTCCAGCGCCTGTGCACCCTGGGCCCAGCCGGCCCGGAGCTCTCGTGGTTGGCGCGCAGCGCGGCCAATTCCACGGCGGCCAGCAACCGCTGCAGGCAGCGTAGCGCGCGCAGCTGCACCTGCCGCCCGACGCAGAGCGCGCGCTCGGGCAAACAGGCGCGCGCGGCGGCGCCCCCCAAGCGGTCGGCGGTCTCATTGCCAGCGTGGTCCTCGGGCGCGATCCCGCGACCCGCCGCCGCGGCTGCGTCGAGGTGCCCCTTGACCCAGCGCGCCTCGATGAAACCGCTCTCGCAGTGCGGCCTCAGCAGCTCCCACAGGTCCGCGTGCGCCCACTCGGTGGGAGAGGCGCCGGCGCGCAAGGCCGCGACCCCGTTGCACACGTAGCGCGAATCAGAGACCAGCTCCAGGGGTGCTCCGACCGCGCTGACCGCGTGCACCGCCGCGGTGGGCTCGGCCCGTTGCGCGGTCTGGGACCCGCCCACAGGCCCGTTGCGGCGCCGCAGCAGACCGTCGGACCCTCGCCAGCAGGGACCCCACCCTGCCCGAGCCAGGAGCGGGTCTGTGGGGTGCTCGCAGGCGCCGTCGCTCCAGGCCCGCAGCCGGCTTTCCCAGGGCCAACCGCTGGGGGCGGCAGCGGAGGCGGCGGCAGCTCCTGCTTGGCCTGCGCTGCCAAAGCGGCCAGGCGCGCGTCCAGCGGCAGCACCCCGGTCAGCGGAACGCCGGCTGGGAGGCGCGCGAGCAGGGCTTCCTGGCTCAGACCTGCGGCCTGCAGCTCAGCGCGGCGAGCCGCTGCCCACTGGGGGCACTCCCAGAAGCGGTGCTCCTTGGTTTCTGCCGCGGCGCCGCAGTGCGGGCAGCGCGCGGGCCGGCCCCACTTCGCGGCCACCGTCTCCGTGACGACGTTGCCACTGAGCACCGCGCGGAGGGCGCCGGCCGCGTCTGGCGCCAGCTCCTCGCTCTCGAGCAAGCGGCGGGTGGCCCGGCGGTCGATTCCGCCGCCGACATGCCCGAGGTCGGCACGCCGCCCAGCCACCACGCGGGCCTCACGCCGCGACCAGGCGTCCAGCAGCGCCGCTTGAGTGTCCTGCAGCGGGCGGTGCTGCGGCCGCCAGCCGCCCGGGGCCCAAGGGACGCCCTGCCAGAGCGTGCCGTCGTGACGTCGTCGTCAAGGCCGAGGTCTGCCATGCTGCGCCTGGCGGCAGCGAAGGGCCCCTGCTGCCTCCCGTGCCCGGCGTCCACGGCGCCCGCCACCTCGCGCCAGAGCTCGAGCGGGAAGCGCCGGCGGCGCAACGCCTTGGCAACCTGCCACAGCGGAGCCACGGTGGCGACCGCGGCAGGATCGAGGCGCCAGCTCGGACTGAGCACGCCGAAGACCACCTCGGCGGCGGCACGCAGCCCACCCCGGCAGTTCCCAGTCCTCCAACACATCCTCCTTATCATCCTCCCTGTCTTGCTCCCGCTCCTCTCCCCATTCCTCCTCCTTCTCCTTCCTCCTACTTCTGCTCCTCCTTTTCCTCCTCCTCCTCCTCCTCCTCCTTATCCTCCTCGTTTTTGTTGTTTCTCTCTCTCTCTCTCTGTCTCTCTCCCTCTTTCTCCTCCCCTTGCCCCTCATTCTCCCCATCCTTTCCTCTCTCAGTCGTTCCCTTGCGTCTCCTCCTCCTCCCCCTCCCCCTCCCCCTCCTCTTCCTCCTCCTTCTCCTCCTCCTCCTCCTCCTCCTCCTTCTCCTCCTCCGCCTCCCCCTCTTCCCCTCCCCCGCCTCTATTCCCCGAAAAGTGGCGAAACGACGAAACCGGACGGCCCCGCCTGGTCTATGATGAGGTACTGCAAATCAATCGGGAACTTCGCCTGCGCGGGTCACGCGACCCCGCCCTCCGTAGAAGCACGGCCCGGAGGCCACCCAGACCGCCATGATTTTGGACTCGATCCTCCCCCGCCTGGCTCTTCCTGTAGCAACAGATCACAGCGAGAGACCATTCAATGGACGAGCACACGTCTGCATGATGAGAAAAACAAGAGGAAATAACAAAGGACGAAAGGCATGACATCATCTCTCTCTCTCTCTCTCTCTCTCTCCCCTCCTCCTCAACTCCTCGTCCATCCTCGCCCTTCTCGCCCTCTTGCTCCTGCTCCTGCTCCTGCTCCTGCTCCTGCTCCTCCTCCTCCTCCTCCTCCTGCTCCTGCTCCACCTCCTCCTCATCCTCCTCTCGTCCATCCTCGCCCTCCTCCCCGTGGAGGCTGAGTCTCAGTGCCCTGGAGCATTGTGGAACAAATGCGGCACCACGGCGCTGAAGGTTGCCTCGTGATCTTTCTTCTTGTCTTCCTGTCCAAATATTCCTCGCTCGCTCTCTCTCTCTCTCTCTCTTTCTCACATCTCCCACCCTCTCCTCTTTTCCAACTGTTCCTGCTGCAGCGTCCGTGCTGCGACTTGTAATTGGACGGTTTTGTTGTCCCCCCTGTCGCGTCTGACAAAACATTTGTTTTGGGCGGCGGTCTTGCGTGTCATTTCTTGTGTAGCGGCCTCGCGCGAAGATTCTAAGTGTGAGGTTGTACGACGGGATCTTTTCCGTAGCGGCCTTATGCATTGACTTATATCAGAGTGAAAGGGGCCGAACGGTCAGTCACTGTCCCTGGGTGCGTGGCTGACTGGGGGACCCACGGCGAACGTTATGTTTGTTGTTTTGTTGCGTCGTCCCCACCGAAACCCGCCAACGACCCATGGGCGACCCACCCGAGATCCACCCGCGACACACCATCCACCCGGCGACCCACCCGCGATCCACCCGCGATCCACCAAGCGACCCACCCGCGACCCACCCGCGACCCACCCACAACCCACCCGCGACCCACCCGCGACCCACCCGACTGTGACCCACCCGCCCACGACCCACCCCGCGACCAATCCGCGACCCACCCGCGACCCACCCGCGTCCCACCCGCGACCAACCCGCGACCCACCCCGCAACCCACCCGCGAACCACCCGCGACCCACCCACCCCGCGACCCACCCGCGAACGCCCCGCGACCCACACCATAGCGATCCTATAAGAAGAAAAATGAGCGCCTGCGGCAGGCTTCATTGCATTTGTTCACGGGAATGCCACCACGGCGCGACCCACCCGCCGACCCACTCTCGACCAACCCCGCGCCCGCGACCCACTCCGCGACCCACCCGCGATCCACCCCGCGAACCACCCGCGACCCACACCACGTTGATTCGATAACAGCCAAAAAAGAATCGGCGCCTGCGGCGGGCTTCATTGCATTGGTTTAAGTGACTGCCACCACCGCGCGACCCACCCGCCGACCCACTCGCGACCCACCCCGCGACCCATCCGCGACCCACCCGCGACCCACTTGCGACTCACCCGCGACCCACACCACGTCAGAGTGAGGGTGCCGAACGGTCATTCACTGTCCCTGGGTGCGTGGCTGAAATGTGGATTCGCGGTGAAGATAATTATTGCTGTTGTTGTCGTCGTCCTGCCCGCGACCCACCACGCGACCCACCCGCGACCCGCCCGCGACCCACACACGACTCACCCGCGACCCAACCGCGACCCACCCGCACCCCACCAACATTGTTTTATATCATCAACATGCGCCTGCGGCGGGCTCGCTACGCATGGCACAAAAAATCTGCGCCTGCGGCGGGCCTCTTTACATGTTCGTTCGATTCTCGTGAACCGCCGGCGACCTCCGCCGCCTCTCTCTTATCCGCAATTGCGGGGCCTACCGCATGTGTATATTTATATATTATATATATATGTATATACACATGTATGTATATATATATATACATACATGGATACATGTACATATAAAAAAGACGGGTTCCCGTTTGTTCTGCTACTGGCCACTTGGCCCCCAGCTTCCACAGGCACCGGGGGCGACCCCAGCAAAACCTTGCTGTCATTGTCTAAGGCGAAGACCTTACAAAAATATCAACATGAAGCTGTCGCCTGGAGAGCTGGAAACCGGGCGTCGGGCATCAAACATGTCGTGGAGGAGCGTTTCGCTTGAGACATCCTCGCGGAATTGCGTTGTTGGAAGAATTGTCATACGACGCGAATCCTCAAACATTCGGTTCTCGCATGAGACATCATCAGGACATGAAAATGTTAGAGATCTGGCACTGAATATCCAACATGGTGTGAAGGAGCGTTTCGCTTGAGACATCTTATTGAAGGGCGTTGTTGGATGACTTGTCTTATGACCCGAAGCCTCTCAAAATGAATCTTTCGCCTCAAAAATCGGCAAAACAATGAAGATGTTGGAGATCAGGCGTCGGATATCTAATATGGTGGGGGGATGGGTTTCGCCTGAGACATCCTCACAACATAACGATGGTGGAAGGGTCGTTTTGCGGCGCTGCTCCTCAAACAGAAAACTCTCGGCCAACACATCCTCAGGAATTCGATATGTTGGAAATCGGGCGTCGGAAATCGAACATGGTGTAAACGAGCGTCTCGCCTGAGACATCCTCACAACATTTGGATGTTGGGGGGGATTGTTTACGACGTTGGTTCTCAAACCTGAAGTTTTCGCCTGGCACGCTCTCAAAACGATAAGATGTTGGAGGTCGGGCGTCGGATACCCAACATGGCGTGGCCGGGTTTCTCGCTTGAAATATCCTCACACGGTGGGATTTGTGAAGAGTTGGTTTACGACGCTGGCCCCCATAAGAATGACATTTTCACCTGAAGCTGATTCCGAACAATGCAATGTTGGAGATCGGGCGCCGGGCGATGTTAGAAGAGTTGCCTTACGATCCTGGATTTTCAAAATTAAGTTATCGCGATCGTTAAGAAAACAATGTAGCGCTCTTCTTCGACATACGCATGAGATGCATATGACATCGGACATGGTGTGGAGGCGCGTTTCGCCTGAAACTTCATCGCACAATGCGGATGCTGGAGGAGTTTTGTTACGACGGTGGTCCTTCAAAAACTACGCCCTCACATGAAATATTTTCAGGAAGCTGAAATGTTGAACGCAGGCGTTTGATATCAAATTTGGTGTGGCTGGACGTTTCGCTGCAAACAACCTTAGGACAATGTGCAGTGGGCTCCCGAACTCGACGCGCCTTCTAAAGTTAGGCTTTCGTCTGAAACATCCTCACACATAGAAGTGTCACCAAAAAGGTCTAACCGTATATTCTTTGACATACACTCCTTGCTGGGTTCGTGGGCCCGTCAAGTTCTCAACATCTTGACACACGTGCCACGCAGTGCGGTGCCCGCCTAATGTCAGGTTTTGATAAACAAATCCGTGGACGGCGCGCGTTTAAACAAATAGTTCCCCTGCTCGGGCGAGTCGCGGGGCGGCGCCCGCCAGATTGAAAAACAGCGGCGGCGCCGGTGATTAGCGCCGACGCCCAGCCGCCAGCGGAAAGACGACAGACAGCACAGACTGCGGGAGGGGACGGGGCGGGAGGCAAAGGCGGCAAAAGCAGGGGCCGTGAGCCAGGGCGACACCTGTTCAAAATGAAGAACTGCTGTCGGCGCTCGCCCCCGCACTTTCCGTGCCCTTTGCTGCCGAACCGATGTGTTTCCTTGACCCTGGCCGCAGCCAAGGGGGCGCCAGCTGCCTCGCGGGCCCGCGAGCAAGGCGGGCTGGACGAAAAGGGGGCGTGGCCAAGCGGGGACTTGCACAGCAGCTCGCATTGCTGATTTTCCGAGCGCCCCCTGGCGCCGAAAGCGGCCATGCATCGAAGACCGGCCCTTTGGCGGGGCGACCGAAACCAGCTGCGCGCAACAGGTTTGGCAACCAGCCCCTTCCTTCCCCAGTCTTTCGTCCGACCCGGGCAAGGCGGGCAGTCCTCCTCCCCCCGTCTGTCGTGGTCTCTGTCGTGGTCTCTGTAGTCGTCGACGACGACGACGACAACGACGGCGACGACGACGACGCCTGAAAGGGGGAACCAATTCGCATCGGATGTGTACACCCCTATGACAACTTCTATACGACAACGACGACGACAACGACGACGAGGAAGAAAACGAGGACGGGGACGATGACGAGGAGGACGAGGACGAGGACGATGACGAGGACAACGAGGACGAGGACAACGAGGACGACGGCCGGCGGACAGCAGACGGCAACGTTGGCGACGACGACGTCGCACAGCGGACGCCCTATGGGTGGTGGGGGTGCTGTACAGGCCCGCTGTTGTAGTCGACGGCGACGACGACGAGGAAGACGGCGGCGACGACGACGACGACGCACTGCGGCGGATGCCCTATGGGGGGGGGGTTGCGCAGGCCCGCTGTACATGACGACGACGACGACAACGACGACGATGACGACGACGACGACGACGACGACGACGACGACGACGACACCGACAACGACGACGACGACGACGAAGACGACAGGGACGACGAAGAAGACGACGACGACGGCGGCGACAACGACGACGACGACGCCTGAGAGGGGGAAACAATTCGCATCGGATGTGTACACTCCTAAAACAACTTCTATCCGAAAGGCAATCGGCCCACTCCCCCGTTAGGAGCGCTGGGAAATCAAACTGCTCCTGCCCCCGCCACTCCTCCCTGTCCCGTGTCCCTTTTCCTCCTCCTGCGCCTCCCCCTCCTCCGCTTCCCCCTTCTTCCTTCCCCTCCTCCGACGCCTCCCCCTGCCACCCCGTTTGGCAAAATTATCCAGGCGAAATGCAATTGTGAATGCCGTCGTTGTGAGTATCGTCCTCGGTAGAGCTCCCTGTGGACCCACGAACCATGTATGGGCGCGCCGAAATGGAGGCGGCGGAGCCATGCGAACCCTGCCACTGGGGCCTTCGGCGGAGCTCCCGATGGGGCCACGAACCGTGTGCGGGGTGTGCCGAAATGGAGGCGGTGGGGCATGCAAACCTTGCCACTGTGGCCTTCGGCGGAGCTCCCTAGGAGGGCTACGAAACGTGCGAGGGGTGTGCCGAGATGGAGGCGGCGGTAGACATGCGGAGAGCAGCGGCCACTTCAGGTCACGGCATCTTCGAGCCCAGAGATCCGACGATGTTTCAAAGCGAAGTGGGTGGGACCACCTCTCGTGTAGCGCAGTGTAGCGTCTGGGAGCCCAACATTTCGAGGATGTCTCAGGCGAAGCGGGCCGGACTATCTCAGATTCGGTCTTCTCAGAACGCACACTTGCGAGGATGTCTCCTGCGAAACGGGGCGGACCACCACGAAACATTGACAATGTCTCCACGCGCGGGCCCCTCGGGCGGCACTCGTTCTTACCGCGCCAACGCCCCCGGCACCAGCCGGGCGACCCCAGAACGCTCCATAACAAAACGTCGATGACGGCAACATGCGAGAACCTCCCATACGTATGTACAATGAGGTCCCGCAGAAGAAATCGAATTCAAAGGCGAGCTCTCAGCATAACTTATGGCATAACAACATAACTGCACGTGAAACCACGTGTACAAAGCGCGTGCCTCCACAGCCGAGAACAAGGACACTTCGAAAACACATGTGATTGCTTCACATGTGGTGTTTGTGTTTTGTGTTCCCTTTCCATCAGGAGTGTGGGAACACGGTTTTCCGATGCGCGCCGCGGAGGGTTTCCAGCGCCGACCTGAGGAATCTGCGCGGACCTATGAAACTATGCGTTTGTGCCGTGTGCCGTGAGTGATACTCCGAATGTAGATACAGAGATATCTGTGATGCATACGTGCCACCGCCAAAGTCGACACGAGGCACCCTCCTGCGGCAAGCCTGGAAAAATAATTGATAGAGAGAGGGAAGGAGAGAGAGGCCATCCCGCCCTCACAGTGCGATGGCTGCTGGATCCCTCCTCCCTTCCTCGAAGCTCGCGGTGGTACAAGTCGACGCAAGCATGCGCCAGACCCTGAGCACGAAGCTTCGTTTGCAAGTCATGGGGGCCTCCCATGTCATCTTGCTGGCTCTTGCGAATCGACTCCGCTCGACGGCAAGCGACACCAGCCGCTGCCGATGCTACGTCGACGCCGAATCGGCGACTCCTCATCGATCGCACAGCACTCATCGAGGCGAGCGCACTCCAAAAACGGATGTGCAGGTGTACTCAAGGCTCCCTTGATCTGCTACCCAACCAATGCCGCACAAGCATGCCCCAGACCCGGAACACCACGACGCACGGACAACAAAAACACACACACACACCCGTACTCCTAAGGGGGGTCGGCCGGGGGAGGCCCGGCCATGGGTACGGGAGCGGGCTGTCGGACCCCAGGGAGGGCCCCTGTTCGAGCGGGGACCCCTGTCCGGCGCTGCCCGCTCCTCGCACGAGGCTCGGGTCGGGCGAAAGGGGGGGATAGCAAAGGGGGGGATTGAGAATCAGCTCACGCAGCTGATTTTCCCGGCGCCTCCCGGCGCCGGAGGCGACTATGTATCGAGGAATGGGCCCCTCGGTGAGGCCGAAACCAGCTGCATGCAGCAAATTTCGTAACCCCCCCTTTCCCAATCCCCCCCTTTCGTCCGGCCCGAGAGGCCGTGCAAGCATTCCACCGGTGCGGTGTCCCGCTGTGCTCGGCGCCTCACCGCAGCAGCCCCGGGCAGGGCCCGCAGCGGCTCCCGGCGGCGGAGGTCGGGACACGGAGTGGCCGCTGGGCATCCGAGCTGCTGGCGGGCCTTCACCACTGCAAACGGGCGGGCACATGTTTGTTGAGGATGTGTCATAAATCGAAACCCGCCAGTGTATCCTGGGACATATGGCGCCCTGCTCGTTTGCATGTGGTTCGAAAGCTATTTCACGATCATGGGTTTCAGAGTTCGGTTCAACGTGTATTGCATCGTTCATGGTTGCTGGCAAAAGACGTTGCGGACACTGGCCAGCAAGAGAAGGGCGGACAAGGGAAGGAGGATGATGCGGAAGAGAGGCCCAGAGAAAACCAACAGTTGAGGTGAGGGAGTCCGCTGCCCTGCAAGAGGGCCATCCCGACGACGGACAGCGAGGCATGATCATGAGAGGAAGAGTGAGGGGGAGAGGAGCAGAAGGCGGAGGAGGAGGTTGCGCAATTGGATGCCCTCGACCTGCCGCTGGCTGGGTCGCCAGGAAGGTAAGACACACACGGCCCCTCACGGAAGGGTCCGTGAAGCAGGCGCCTGCTGCCGTGTGCGTCTTGTCCTTTGCTGGCCTCAGAAAGTGAGTGCTTATTGTGCGTGTCCTCTGCTGAGTCTTAAGCCAGCATCAAGGAGGGATTAAATAACGACGACGACGACGGACAAAGAGCAGAAAGGGGGAGGCGACGAGGATTGTGTCCAACAGACGCGGGAGCGGAGAAGGCAAAATCAGTAAGCATCGAACTTGGAAAATTGATCTCCTCGGAATTTGGGTTGGGTCGTGCTGCATCGGCATAGGATCGAAATTCAATCGGATATGTTGCGCTAGGATGCACGGTAACAGCAGGCAAATATCGGGCCGCATCGCATCGTCGGGGTATCGAAATCAGATCGGGTTGAACTGGCTTGAATCGATATCGAGTCGGACCGATCGGATCAGCAGAAACCCTGGGGGTGAGGAGCGAGGAAGGGGAGGGAGCGAGGGGAGGGAGGGAACGAGGGATCGAGAGAGGGGAGTGAGCGAGGGAGCGGGGAGAGGCGGGGAGGGAGCGAGTGAGGAGAGGGAGGGAGGGAGCGAGGAGAGGGAGGGAGGGAGCGAGGAGAGGGAGGGAGGGAGCGAGGGGAGGGAGGGGAGGAAAGAGTGGAGGGAGGAGAGGGAGGGAGCAAGGAGAGGGAAAGAGAGAGAAGGAAAGGGTGCGATGGGGGGGAGCAGCTCTGGCGCGGAGGGGCAGATGGCGGGCCCGCCTCGAAGCCGCCGTCCATGACGTAATTGTCCACCAGCTTCCCGGCCCTGAGTTCCACGCTCTTGTACAGCAGGCGGATGTGGATGTCGGGGATGGCCTGCGCGTAGAGAGGTGGAGACGGAGTGGGGAGGAGATGAAAGGGAGGAGGAGAGAGGAGGAGGAGGAGGAGGAGGAGGAGGAGGAGGAGGAGGAGGGAGGAGGAGGAGGAGGAGGAGGAGGAGGAGGAGGATGAGGAGGAGGAGGAGGAGGAGGAGGAGGAGGAGGAGGACTACGAGGAGGAGGGCTAGGAGGAGGATGAAGACGTGGGGGGGGGGCTTGTGCGAAGAGAGGAGATGAAGTAGGGAGATAATGATGCGCATCAGAGGAGGAGGAGGAGAGGGTGGAGGAGGAGGAGAAGGAGGACTACGCGTAAGTATACAAGTCAAGTCTGCCAGATCGAACAAGCTAGCGGGCAGCGCCCATAGCCACCCTCTTCCCATGACATGGGCACCCCTCCAATAACAGAAGATTCAATCGAGCCTCAGCTGGCTATTGGGACACTGGATCGTCTTCCCCCTAGCGCACAGAAGGCGCTCGCGGTAGGAATAGGAATAGGAATAGGGCGAGGATGAATACGGCCAAGAAGTAATGAATGGGACGGGTCGCCACAGGAGTCTACTACGAATACACGGAATCGCAGCTGTAGTCGTAGCAGTTGCCGCAAGATGCAGAAAAATAGCAGTGGTGAGGAGGGAGAGAGAGAGAGAGAGAGCCCTCTCGTGTGTATACATATTTAAACATTGAGTATGTTTGCCAATGTGGAGCCGGAACCGTGGGCTCGTGCAACCTGGATATGCAATCCATGCTTCACGATGCACGCCATGCATTCTGCGCATGGTGCAACAGCTGTGTTGCAAGATATGTGGTGGAAAGCAACGTGGTGCAAGCTTTGTGGTCTACGATATGTTGCGAGCTGTGGGGTACAAGCTGTGTGGTGGAAGCAGTGCAAGGCAAACGATGTGGTGCAAACTATGTGGATGTGGTCGTACCACAACGAGGGCGTTGGTGAGCGTAGCCAGCGCGTCGGGATGTGTATGCCGTCTGCGAGGCAGCCGACGCACACCGCCGCACTGCGCCCGAAGGCCGAACAATGCGAGTGCGAGGACGTCGCCGGTGGCTGGAAGACTCGCCGAGGAAGGCCTCCCGATACCCGGGAGGTCCGAGACTTCTGAGGGCGAGCCGTCTCGCAGGCCCCCCTCCCCTTGCGTTCGCCTCGCCCTGACCGCCGGATCCTGCAACGGCTTTTCCCCGAGTGCCTCGGTGGGCGGCTGCCCCGTGGGTGCGCGAACGCAGCCAGAGAGGAGCCCCGCGTCCTGCGGGGATGCAAACCCCCTCGCGGCGCACGCCTGCCTGGAGTGAAGCTTCCCGTGGCCGCGGCGGGACCCGGGGCACGGCACGATCGGCGTCGAAGGGCATGTGGATTCGGCGGCACGCGCCTGGGCAGCTCGGGGGGGGAAGGTTGGAGCGGCCGCCGAGGCAGGAGGCAAGGAGAGGGAGCCCGAGGTCGCCCCAGCTTCGCCCTCCGCGTGGAGCGCGGTGATGCGCGGCTCACGTCTGCACACTCGCGCGGCTCCCCTTGGGCGTGGCTTAATGGGGGGGTCATAAATGGGGCGGTCAAAAACGGTCCCCTTTCGTGCCCCTTTCGGGCCCCTCCGGAGCCTCAGGGGGCTCGTTTAGGTACCGTTTGGGTACCTTTTCGGACCACGCTCGCCACCCCCCCATTTATGACCCCCCCATTACGCAACGCCCAATCCCCTGGAGAGGAGGGGCTCTCCGGCCTGGGCCGCGCTGCGCGGTGCTCTTCCCCCAGCCTTGCCCGCTCCCTGCGCGCGTGCTTGCCTGGCAAGTGAGCCTTGGGAGCACGCCGCGCCACAGGTGACCGGAAAGCAGATGTCACAAAGATGGCGAGCGCCGAGAATCCAGCCCGATGTACTGCGCGCCTGCGAAAACAACAGCTCAGCAGCAGCACGAGGGAGTGAGAGGAAGAGGATGAAGGGGAGGAAGGAGGAGGGAGACGAGCGTAGAGACAGAGGAAGGAGGAGGGAGGAGGAGGACGAGGAGAGAGGAGGGGGGGAGGAATAAGGAAAGGAGGAAGGAAGGGATGGCAGAGGGGGAGCAAAAGGCCGAGGACAGAACAGGAGAGGACAAGACAGGCTTACCAGAAAACTGGAGGAACGCACGCAGAGCCAAATCCGCATGTGGAACGTCCAGAGGCCACGCGCTGGATACGCATGCGGGAACCCGCTGTACATGGCCATAAAGGTCCGAGCGCTGAAGGGGGGGGGGAGGAGGGGTAGGAGGAAGGGGAGAGGAGGAGGAGGGGGGAGGAGGAGGAGGAGGGGGAGGAGGAGGAGGAGGAGGAGGAGGGGAGGGAAGGAGGGGAGGAGGAGGAGGAGGATGAGGAGTGAGGAGGAGGAGGAGGGAGGAGGAGGAGGAGGAGGCCCATGTGTATCCAGCTCTGGCCCTGGCCGGCCGCGCCCTGTGCACCCAGCTTCCTGGTAGACTCTCCGGAGGGCGCGCGGACTTTTCGAGGGCGCCGCCGCTACCAGATCGCTCTCTTCATGAAGATCCGCCCCCCCGCTTCCGCGCAGGTGCAGGTCGGGCCTGCTGCTGCCTTCTCTCCGTCCTGTTCATTCCTCCCTTCTTCCCCCCCCGCCTCCTCTTCCTCTTCCTCCTCCTCCTCCTCTCCTCCTCTCCTCCCTCCTCCTCCTCCTCCTCCTCCCCCTCCTCCTCCACTGCAATGACTCAATATGGATGCTGCTCTCCTTTCCCTGGGGTCCTGTCCGAGCGGGGCACGCTTTCTTCCGCATACTGTCATCCACACATCAGATTTACGAGAATGGTCTGTTGTATTATTTTCCCACCGGAGCATTCTCCCGCTGTAACGTTGGCCTCATTGTAGGATCGGCACTTTGACACGTCGTTCAGAATGGTCGTCTCGCTCCAGCGCGGGCAACAATTCTGGGTCGTCGATGCCGCCCGCTCCTTTATCCTCCTACACCTTCCCTGGGACTCCTGCTCCTGCTGCTGCTGCTGGTCCTCCTCGTCCTCTTCCGTCCTTGTCCTCTTTCTCTTGCTCATCCGTCACCCTCCTCCAAATGTGCACAGCTCCCCATTTCTGATTGAGCATCATACCACGGTGGCGTCCGTTTGGGGGTTCTGAATCCGCTATGACACCCGTCAGCGGAAAAAGAAACATCAGCGCGAATGGAAGAGACGGGAGGGAAGGGTAGGGTGTCAGGTCAAGCTAGCCAGCTCGAGCGAGTCAAGCATGGCATGCCCATTCCCACCCGCCCTCCCACAACATAAGAAACAGTGATGGCACGACTGGGGGTTGCGCGGGCATTTGAGTGCGAGTGGAGGATACCCCAGGACACCGCATTGACGTCCGCGCGGGATGTGCGCCGCGTCCCATTCCCGCCACGCATTTCGCATCGTCGACGAAAAGACTGGCCATGTTGAAAGGAACAACGGACACGTTCCGCCCTCCCACAACATAAGAAACAATGCTGGCGCAACTGGGTGCTGGCGCGTAGTGGTAGTAGTAGTAGTAGTAGTAGTAGTAGTAGTAGTAGTAGTAGTAGTAGTAGTAGTAGTAGTAGTAGTAGTAGTAGTAGTAGTAGTAGTAGTAGTAGTAGTAGTAGAGTGGTAGTAGTAGTAGTAGTAGTAGTAGTAGTCGTCGTCGTAGTCGT